GAATAAAATGTATACTCATTTATCTGATGAAGGAAACAGAGGCACTTCCATAAATACACTGATGGCGAGAGTACTGTTGAATTATAGAAACACTCCCCATTGTTCTACAGGAAAAACACCTAATGAGCTTATGTTTGGGAGAAAACTGAGGGATAGGTTTTCTCTCATACACGAAAAGCGTGTCAAACTCAATGAAGTGAATGAACATAATGCAGAGGCATACAAAAATATTCTTAAGGCACAAGACAATCAGAAAAGAAATTTTGGGGGGGGGGTGATTCGTAGATTCTCTATTGGGGATCAAGTGTATGTCAGAGATTATAGAGTAGCAAATAAAAGGGGCTGGATCAGGGCAAAGGTCACTGGAAAATTGGGACAATCAGTATATACGTGTAGAACAACAGAAGGCGAACTGTGAAAAAGACACATAAACCAGACAAGGACTGCAGTGGTAGAAGAAAACCATACTCGTGACCGTCCCCCGGCAGTACCCATCAAGACTGAGGACTCACATGAGAAATGTCCTGGGCCTGTCAAGAATGACAGGGCACTGCATAGCAAACTCGGTTATATTTCCAGTGCTTCTTTATCTAATGTTGATGTTCCTTTACAGGTTGAACGTTCCACCACCCCTACATAGGATACATATTATCCTAGTGTGTCAGGGTCTGCAGGTTCACAGGGAGCCAGTCCAGTGAACGATTCCCCAAGTCAGTCATCACCAGAAAGCTACCAAGCTATCTCTATGTCTAGTAACAGGTCAGATGAGGTTATGTTGTTAGATGATTTGTTTGATCAAAACTTATTTGGATGCAATAGTCACATGGACAATGATGATATTCCAGTATTTAGAAAAAGCAAAAGTTTACAAACAGAAATTTTGAAAGAAGTAGGCTCTGCAGGTTGTGAAACTCCACGACCTACAGAAAAGGAGGGAAGTCAGATCATTAAACAGAAAACACAAAATAGTAATAACTCAGGGTCCCTAAGGCCTGCAAGAATAAAAAAGGTACCTGGTACACTTAAAGATTTTGTGATAAACATAGATTAACGTACTATTGTTTGGTTGTTTTTGAGTGGCGATAGAAAAGCTAGGGGCAAGGTTAACTCATTTACAACAAAATTCCTATATGTATCAGTCACAGGGACTCAAGTAGGTTCAAGAATAATGCTAACAAAGCAGGATTATTGTAAGTGAATTGTCACAGGGCAAGTTATTAGGGTAGTTCGTAGTTAAAGTAGGGTACCATGTAATATCAGGGACCATTATTATGTAATGTATGATAGTGTGGAGCATATGAAAAATGTGGAAATTTTCAGCTTAATGGGGGAGGTGTGACAGTGGGCTAAGCCATGCAGCGCACGACGTGGCAGAACGCACAAGCGGGCCAAGAGAAACATGAGAAGTGTCAACGTCAAAAAGCGAGGTAGAAGTTGGCACAGGCAGTAGACAGCCAGTCTCGATCAGCAACCCACTGAGCACGCATGTCTTCGTGTAAAGGTAATGTCTTGTGATGTCCGTCCGGCCAGACTCATGTCGTGGTATTTGTAAATGTTAAAGTAGTCGTGGAATAAAAGACCATGAGAGTGTAAACGATGTTTTATTAGCCAGTGCAGTTATCACACTCATCAATATTACCTTTTTGTGGTAAACAATAGTCACGCAATCCCTTACTTTCGATTGGCGTCAAATGTTCTAGATGCTTATTTACTTAAACAATTAAGTTCTTCGCCCATGAAATGATATTTATCGTAATTATGATAAGGGTTTCATTGCAAAACGGAGCATGCCAACGTACCAAAATTGGGTAAAAAATCCCATGAGGCGTTTCAAAAATATAAAGCAAAAAGGATTTGAACATTGTAACTGCAGAGCCGTCTAGCCTTAACAAAGCAACTTTGTACTGAAGTGAGTTTTCTTGTGAAGAATTGTTTCGGTCTGAGGCATATATGGTAAGTTTCTATAAAGACCTTTTAGGGACACCCTGTATATACATTTTTCAGAGTGTTCTATTTTGTCAGATATTTCTGAATCACCCTGTGAATTTTGATGAGGACTGTGAGAAGGCCTCGCTGCGGCATTCAACATTCGCAATACGTTTTTTCATACAGTGTAAAATAACGCGAATTCGGGAGTGAGCTTCTTTTTTGTTTCATCGATTGATGATTATCTCTTCGGATAGACTAAATATACCAAAAGCCCGCGACATACAAAGCTAGCAGTACATAACTAGCAATACTAGCATGTACCGGGTGTACCACTAAGAAAGGACGCCGGCTGTATCTCGGAAACTATCGCCAGACAGATTTCGGAAAAGATATTTAGGATGAAAGTAGCCAAGACCAAAACCTCTGGAAATGGCGTAATTGCATTGGCCAATTCAAAAAACGGGATTTTGTGAAAATTTGGTATATCAAGATATGTCAAAGACACTTTTTTTATAATCTCGAGTTGATTTCCAATTATATTGATGAGAAATGAAGGAGGGGAGGATGGAAAAACTCATAACTACAGTTTGGTGTAACAAAATTTAACGAACTTGGTTTCATTATGAAGGGATTTTTCAATTCTTTCAGATGAATCACGAATATAGTCTTTATTGATTCTGTGGTGGCTGCCAGAAGGCACCTTTTAAAAAATCTGATAATTTTTCATTTTTTCTCGAGAATTTCAAATAGAAACATATATTTTCCTCACTCTTATATGAAAGTAGAGTGAACAAGAAGAAACTTTGTGGAAACCGCAAGGTGATATAATCGAAATAATATTAGAAAATATTAATCAAATAGGTACTGAAAGGATTAGTAGCACTCCACTTCGGCCATTGGTATGCTGTCGGCGGCAGTTCCGATCCTATTGATCATAATCGTCCATAGTTTTTGATCGTGTTTCAAAATAGTCATTCGTTTTACTAGTCAGAGGGGCACAAGATATAATGCCGCGGCTGGCGTTTCATAGCCAAGGCGTAGATGAGCCTAGGAAGCCAGCCAAGGTATTAAATCTGATTTTCTGCCGTGTGAAACAAATATTTTTTTTTTCTAATTCGTCCAATTTCATGCAAACTCCAAATAATCCACCATTTTGTGTTCACCCCACGTCAGTGTCAATTTTGATTACCAATTTGATTTGAATTATTTCTTGGAACGTTGCATAGCAACCAACTTTTTCTGCATAGGCAGTAGAAGTACCGATTTTCTGCCTATTAAGTGTCATCAAAAAGCCACTTTCAATGTCATTTGGAAAAAAAGGATATTTTTCAATGTTCCTCATTAATTGAAATCTAACCAAGTCACATCTGGAGACCTAGCTGGCCACCCAAACATGCTACCCCTTTCTATCCAATTGCCAGGAGGATATCTTCAATCTATATTCAATCTAAATAATTCAGCATGTTGATAGCAAAATGTGCCGGGCATCAATCATGCTGGGAAAACATATTTCTTCTCGTTTCTAAGTCTACATCTTCTGGCAGAAGAGGTAGTTGATCACGCAGGAAGATGAGATAAACATTTCCATTGAGAGATTCATAGAAAATATATGGTGCTATATTTTTTTCGCCAATAATTCCGCACCATACATTTACACTCCATCGATCTTAGGAGGATTATTCTGGGACCAATAGTGAGTGTTATGCAAATGATCTGAAGATGATGTATATTATTGTCAGCATGCTAGCAATGTGCGGAATTATTTAGATTTAAGATATCCTGACAAGTGGATATAGGAAGGGGTAGCATGTTTGGGTGGCCAGCTAGGTCTCCAGATCTGACTTGTTTAATTTTTATTATTAAGGAAGATTGAAAGATATGGTTTTTGAAACCCAGCCAAAAACTAGTGACGATATGGTCAATAGGATCATAACTGCCGTCCAGAGCATACCAATGGCCGAAGTGGAAGCTGCAGTTTCATCCACTCGACGAAGACTCAATTTATTTTATGTATGGTATGGTATGGTAGATTAATTGATGTATCTAGGAAGACACTGGTGCTAATAATCATTTCAGTACCTATTCAATTTATATTTTTTAATATTATTTCGATTATATCTCCGGTTCCTTAAGATGTATCAACTTGCTGTTTCCACAATTCTTCTTCTCGTTTGCTCTACTTCCTTATAAGAGTAATAAAAATATATGGTTCCAGTTGTAATTCTCGAGAAAACCTGGAAACTTGTCTGATTTTTCAAAAGGTCACATCTAGCGGCCACCACGAGATTTATATCGACTCGAATCGTGATTCATCTAAAACTGGAGAATCAGGGTGTTTTCTAATTAAATGTAAATATTTGAGGAGGCGTGATTGTGATATTGTCATATAAACGATATTGTTATGATCATGCAGTGAGAAGCTTTTTATTTTTCAAGCGAAAACCGTGCATCAGATTGAAAAAATTGTAGAGATCTGATTTGCTTAGAAATGAATGAGAATTCCAGGAATGATTTCAATTTCGAGATTAATCAGTGGCGTACGCTTACCATCAATGTCTGCCAAAATAGGTATGTGAAATTCCATACGAACGTCACTGGTGGCAAGATGAGACATAGTACATGTATGCCAAATTTCCACAGAATATCTAAAGTGGCATTACAGATATTGATAAAAAACTATTTATTTTTGAGAACTTTACCACCCAGTATCTCAAAAGTTAAGAAGTTTGGTCATACGTTCAAATGAAATTTTCTTCTTAAAATTGGCCCAAGAATCGCCTCCTCAAGTATTGACATTCAATTAGGAAGCACCTTGTATAATATAATGAGATACATAATACCGTTTCAATGATCATTAGAATCTGACTATGTGTATTTCTCACGATTTTGACGAGTTGATGAATGAATAAAATTCAATATGAAGATAAATGTGAAGGGGGACATATGTATTATTTTTTTGCTTCAATTCATTCAGAATTACATGATATATCTTGAAGAACAAAACAAAAATTTTTGAAGACAAAACAAATAAAACTTGATCACTACTTCTCTCAAATATTCTCTACACTTACCATTACATTGTTATCAATTCTTTGTTTTTTGACACTGGAGTGATTAGGCCCCATCAAATCATCCAATATCAACCTCAACCGGCATTCAGGTCCTGCAAAAAAGGTAACTGAAATATGTCTGCTACCAATACATCATTCTTGATCTAGATCAACTTGAAAATAAAACTTCCATCAAAAACGCCGATCCAAGCGGATTTTTGTTCTGATGAAGTAATTCGCGAATCTTTACAGGGGACAATGCGCGCCCGAATCATGAACCCGAAGTCTTGGGTTTGATCCTCAAACTGGAGATTTTCAATTTATAATTCCGATTTATAATATAATGCAGATAGTTCCGAACGATTAGCTGTTACGTTTTTATCAACAGTGCTGCTTCCTATGTGGCGAGTAAGAAGGCCTACACATAACACAGGTAGGGAAAATGATGTTGTTGGAGCAACCCCTCTTGCTAATGAGCTAACCTGCAATATACAACCGAAAATATCAGAAAAAGCTGATGAACAATACCTGGAACCTGAAGGGCCTGAATACAAATGTGTAAACGACATCCACTCAACCAATATCCGTCTACCAGTTATAGGGGACAGATATCTAGTGATAACATACAAATTTTAAATTCTCCTAAGGAGATTTGACAATGGAACTGAATCTTAGATAGATTAGTATAGATATATAGATTAGATAGATAGGTAGATTAATTTGTCATTCAAGAACGAAGAAACATAAATACATAAATACAGGATTCGATTTCCATAGCTTAAGGGTATATTCCTTGAACAATTTAAATGCTTTAAATACATTTTTAAACCTCAATAGTTGTGGAGTTATGAACAATATAAAATTCAACACTGAATGAATCTAGTAGACTATTCAAATCAAGATTATGTCGATATTCACTCAACTTATAGATACTACGACAAAAATGCAAGAGCGGTACGGGAATATCAGAGAAACCTGATCGAAATATACCTAATAAGAAAGCATTTAGCAATATGCATTGACATTTGCTACTGTAGAACATCCCGTACCTCAAGAATTAGGCGAAGAAGAAGCTATTAATGATATGATCGAAATTAGTTCATCTACTAGCGTGCATGAATTCAATTCTACCCGAAACGGTTCATAGTTGGAATCAGACCAATCAAAACGATTTTGGCCTTGCTAGCATATTTCAATCGCGGATGTTGGTGCAATTCAACAGGCTATACCATTTATGAATTTTGAAGACATTATAAAACGAAGGAGATAGATATTTACGTAACCTGTTAAGAAATGCGACATTTTGTGTAAACAACGGAAAAGCACCAAATCGAACAAAAAACCAAGACCAACGCGGGAATTGAAACTGGGTCCTCAGGAGTCGCAATCCGAAATATAACTCACTGCACCAATCGTTTATTGAAAAATCAAGGTATGTGAAAAAAATTTCATGTGTTGTGATTTGTCATAGGGTTGTGAGTGACGCTAGAGAATTCAGAGAGTGCACAGATGAAAAAGGTGTGGTCGTATCACGCACATTGTGATTGGTCTAAAGGTATAGGTAGGATTGAACTAGTGCTACTACTGATGTTCATGTTGATCGAATGAAACATTACACAATTTTGGTTTGTACCCTAATCATAATCATATACAATCTGTTCAACATTTACAACCAGCAGACTATGCAGTGCGTGTTGACTCTTGTCGTTGATTGATTGCACACCAATAACCTTGTGGGCAAATTATGTTTAAAGATGAAGCCACGTTTTCTAGAGATGGAATTACGAATACCAGATACCAGATACCCTCTTGACTCCAGGAAAACCAAATTTGATCATTGGGTGAATATTTGATGTGGTGTTTTCTTATTGAAGCCATTCGTATTTCAAGAACGTTCAACATATGCGTTATCTGATTTTTTTACTAAATGAGTTGCCAGGATTAATGTAGGATATTACACTAGAAATAAAAGCTTTGCTCACCGCTGAATTGGAAGTGGTGGTCCAGTTCTTTGGCCACAGAGGTCACCTGACCTAATGCTTCTCGGCTATTATCTTTGGGACACATGTAAAGTTTAGTGTATTCAAATAATCCACAAACCAGAGATGAGCTAATTCAAAATATTATGACTGCAGCTGCATCCAAACGGGATGATCCAGATACTCTTTAGAGAGCAACGTCTTAAATAAATAGAAAAATGTGATGTGAAGCAGGGAGAGGAAATTTTGAACAGAAACTCAAATTGAGTTTGTGTAATCGATTATAAATTCTCAATTGATAAAATATTACATAACTTTACTCAACAATATATTCACTTCATTCTACACACTGTGTTGAATTGAATATTGCTCATTACTCCTCGACTCTAGAGTTTTCCACAAAAGTGTATAAATCAACTCTTCAATCTCGAAATTGTTCAAGGAATATGCTCTTAATAAAAATAAAAACATATCTTCATCAAGTAAATGATTTACGGTGATCATCAACCAATGCTTGTATTTTTATCTCGAATTTGTTCAAGGAATATTCTCTTAAGCTATGGGCATCGTGTCATGGGACACCCCGTATAAATATGAGTACATACCTTTATCAAGTAAATGATTTACGGTGATCATCAACCAATGCTTGTATTCTGTGAAAGATTCGAGTATGTTAGTGGCTGTGATTTGAGATTCCAGGAAACTGAGCATCACACCCGGGGGCAATGTATCTAGGTTGCGTTGAGAAGGCAGGCACCTCTGTAACGAGGCAAGCGGAAGGTTTGAAGCTACCTTCCTTGTTAGACTACCTCCTGTTCCACAAACGGGATCCAAAGGATTTGATAATTGGACCCTAACGAAAGATTTATATATTATCAGTTTGTATTAGGCAATCTAACGACCAGTCAAACTTAGTCACTGGATGGTATCAGTAGATAAGAGTTCAGACACAGCTGAACTTCTGTCCTTTCCTATTTTCTAAATCACAATGCTTGAGTAAATAAATGAATAATACATATATTCTGCTCTTTGTCTTCTCAAATTCCCTAATAGCGCCTGATTGTCAGATACGAGTATAGAGGTTACATTTTCTCATGAGTGAGGGTTGCTGGGCTGTGTGCACGTGTATATATACCAAAGAAGGGAAGATTTGTATTTCGTGCAAGATAATTTATTCAATATTCGTAGCAGAGCGCTTTCGACTGTTAAGTCATCATCAGTGCATACCTATTAGTAAGTAATCTGCTTTTAGCTATTGAAAAGAAATTGAAATTGAAAATTCGAAAAAATTTCCGGAAAACTTTTTTGAACAATTTTGAAAATTTTTTTGGAAATTTGTTCAATATTGAAAAAGGTAATAACATGAATTGGTGACTTGTTACTTGTTGATGAACTCTTGATTTTGGAAAAGACATTGTAATAAAATCGAAATTTGAAAAAGTTAAATATGACTTTGGAAATTGATGAAAGTGAGTGACTTACTCGTCAGGTTAACAGGGAAATTTGTCCATAAAAATATCTTTGGTCCAGTTCAAAACTAACGAAATTATGGTAAAATACTGTACAAACAAATTAGAATGTGTTTCCCGAAAGGGGGTAAAATACGGATTACATTTTGTTAAGCAGCCATTGTCGCTGCGACATGTCGTGTTGAAGTTAACTTGATGAGTGACGGACCTTGATTTAATTGTCATTGAACGTACTGAACTAATGAAGGCGAATTTGACATGCATGACATGACATCCAAGACATGACATGTGTCAAAGGAAAATCAAGAATGTTTATTATGAAACATTAGTGAAGATAAACATTATGAAATTGGGAAGAATTGACCAAGTCCCTAAGGAGCGAATGTTTTGTTGGTCTAATGAGAACCTAACTAACATGTCACTCAATAGTTTGGTTTATCAAAATGCAACAATTCAACAAGTGAATACACCAGGGAAACCCAGTTGAGCCAAATGAGAGCTCGCACAAGTTATTCCAGATGTAATCAAAAGTTGAACAAATTCAACTGTCTGACAACCTATTAACACAAAAAAGGTTCTAGAATCCGGTTTGTGACAAGTTATTCTCAGAAATCTTTGTGAAAACTCAAGCCTCCAACTGCGAAGGAAGTAAAAAGTCTAATGACAACTTCCACAACCCATAAAATTGGAACATCAAGAAACCAGTCCACCTCTGGAACATGAAAAGGCAAGAAGGAAGCCATTGGTGTTCTCAGTGTTATGGAAAACTGCTTGGGAAGATAGTGCCCAAATTGCTGAATTGGATATCTAATCTCTATGATGATTTAATTAGATATCCATTCCATAACACTTTTCCGATAGCTAAAAGCAGATTACTTATAGCTAGTTCGGTCTGTATTGAAAACGCCATCCAATCATATACAGTGAGTCCAAGATAAGGATGTATATCATGGGGTATACTTGATGATGGTTTCTCCAAAACGTAACGTCGTACAGAAAATGTCACAACGCTATCTTGTAGAGCTTCAAAAATGGGATTGAGAAAGTGTCTTCTGTTTTACTATATATCTTCAATCAACGTCAGAAAAAAATAAAAACGATTCCCATGATAGACATCCTTATCTTGGACACAGTGTATTGTGCAATTTACTTGATTTCCTCAGTTTCATTCCCAAATTTTCAATTTCATTACGTAGTTTTCAATCAATTCCTCCTCCATGATAATTTTGGTTTGCATTTCATGTGATAATAATAGATTTTTTTGAATAGTCTGTTTTGTAAATGAATGGAACAGAAAATTCTCTCTAACGGATCTTAAAATCTTCTGTTCAAAAATGTTCATTAATCATTCTAATCTGCTGATATAAGAAGTGAATTTTAATGTATGTACCTCACAAATTCTGCTTGTCTTCAAATTAATTGTTCATTCAGGCCTTTTCGTACATTCTTTCTATATGAGAATGGTAGATATTTCCTTTGGAAAATTAAATAAATGAAATCCATTCTCTTCAGGATTCCCACAATTCATTACACAGCAGGACATTTTCATTAATGCATTCTTCTCAATAATTAAATTATATTCCAATTCTGAGTTCATGGAATTTAATGTATTGTCAAATTCAGGCAATTTTGAATGAAAAAGGGAGGGACGACTATGGTGCTCTTGTCACAATGCAAGGAGTGTAACTGAATAAATCATTCAAAAACACTTACAGTTGTCATTTATGTATCCGAACTCTTATCTAACTAATACCATCCAGTGACTCTAGTCAAACTATGCGTCTGGTTGGCACACAAATAATCGACCTATTTATGGTAAATAAATTGTTTCCATTCGTGAATTTAGGTTTGTATTTGATACACATCATCTTTAATGATCACAGGAAAGACACCATCTGAATGCCATGATCAAATTATTATATTAATTATATTGGTTGTCAACCAACTGGGTCTTCAACAATGATTGAGTGCCACGTGACCATTTTTGATGCGGCGTCTCTTTTCCACCCACTTTAAGAGATACGAATGTATTATTGGTTGCATAGTAATTTGTCACGTGGTTTGCAATCATTGTTGAAAACCCGTTAGCAGTAATGGACACCAAACTATTGGATGGAATGATAGTTTGCGGCCGTACGACTTATTCAATATATCTTATAAACATCGGGCATCAACAGTTTCAGGGCTCAAAATGACCTATTATGTGAATGAAAACCAATGAAAATGTCGTTCACACTGAATTTGGAATAATATAGTGTCAAAGTGTCAGCTCCTTGTTCATATTCTATTGAATCAACATTTGAATGGATGTGGAATTATGATCCTCCATAGGTTTTATTAATACAGACACAATTGTCTGCCTAGACCACTAAACCTGAACTTAATGTTTCAAGACCGATATTGATTCAAACTTTCAGATTTTTTTACATCTGTCACGAGACATTTGATCGATAAGGTAGGTACAGAGTATTACATTGATTTTCGTCTCAACATAAAATACGAGGATAATAAGAAAATGAAATATCAGAACGAGAAATTAGGAAATTTCGATTCAAGTCGAAAACACATAATACTTCAAAAACATGGTTTCGAAGAATTATATTGAGCCTTGTTTTTAGAATGAATCGCCAAACTATGAAAGAAATGTAAAGAAAACGGAATCGTTGTCAGAAATTTATGGAGACAAAACTATTATTTTGTTGTTGGTTGTCTCTCTGTTTGTCAGGTACAAATATGATATTCTCACCATGATTGTAAATCCATACTAAAAGTGTAGGCTCGTCCATCTGTTAATGTTACCATAGGTTGATTGGAAGGACCCATACTACAACTATTCACAGTACCTGAAATGGAAAATGATCGAGATTGAGGAAATAAAAGCGAACAATCAGATTTAAACAATTTGATTTTCAAAACAGAGACGATTGATAAACAATCACTGTGAGTTTTGATAGGAATCAGATTTTGATCAAATTACAAGTTTTCAATTTCTAAAATATACAGATACAGAGGAGGAAACGATATAATTTTGTGGCAGTGGCTGTTCGCAGTTTAAAAAAGGTGAAACGATAATATGTAAACTTCCAACAAGTATTTGGACCAATAAGATAACCTAGAATCAAACAGACACTAAATGTGATGAAGTGATCTGATGTAAACAAAGACAAGCATCCAGAGTTCAGATGGTCCACCTAATGCTAAGATGAATAAATTCGAGGCTACTATCAGAATGGTTGGAGAAAATCCAAAATTTCCAAACAAAAATACGACTTTGTATCTACAATTTATCTGTGATATAAATTTTTTCTGTAATTTTGTCATTCAAAACATAACACCATAGTATTGATCATGTATTCTAGTTGAAAGTTTGAAAAAATGTAGGACAGATTTTTGGGAAACGGACTTTCAAACCCTTGAAGTCTACCTTTTGGAGAAAAACAGAAAAAATGTAATATCTCCAAAACAATTAACTTTTGCATGATGCAAATTAGGGTTTAATTTACTCCTTACCACCTTCCCTATCACAACTCCAAAGAGATGTATCGAATTACTAGTACTGTATAGTACTATAATTAGGTCTGCATACATTGTGTAGCAGCTTTTATGGAAGGAGGCATCAAGATATTTCCACTATCGTATATTTTGAAAGTACCACGATACTAAGTTAAATCATTGCCCATCATTGAATTTTGATATGGAGTATTATTTGACATGCTATTGGAAAAAGGTTCACAAACGCAACTCAGCGCACATTCTGTTTATCAAGAGACACAATAAGAAATACTATAACTGTCGATATACCATATAGACCATATTGACATCTACCTCAAACATAACGTGCCAGAATTTTGAAATAATTTCAGTTCAATTTCGACCTTCGATATAAATATGGAGTACTACCAGATTTTCAGATTTCTTTTAGCTTCAGATAATATCTGGACAGTGAAAAAAAAACATTTGACTTCATTCGTCTGGCCTGGTCATGACTAGACTTCCGCTCATTTCCCCTCTGTATATTGTTGTTATTTTTTTTGAAGACAAATGAAGACAAATTATTATTATTATATCTCGTCATGATCTCAGGATGAATTAAAACTGTAAAAAAATCATGTAATCTTTAAAAAATTAATGTTTTTCTACACACTGCAATAACAAGAGTGTAACATTATTGTACACCCGCAGAACCGTTCATTGGCATCAAAACAGATTTTTGGCCCACGGCGAACAAATCGAAATACTCACGGCGGCGAAAGAGTTAACGTGTAACATGAATGTGAATCATTTTCTGGCGGAGTGAAATAATTCTGCCTTTTCGATTTCAATTCTCTTGCATTCACGCTAACCACCTGCATTCTGCGTGGGTGGATTGACTTCCATATAGATAGTACAAGTTTTATTATGGCTTCTACCTGTGCCCCTGTTGTCTGTGAAACTTATAGACAGTGAAAAAACACAAAACAAAAAGTGTGATTCATAAGTACATTGAGAGGCGAAATTAAAATACAGTGATAATACTCACTATATTTTCAACAATTATAATCAGGTGATGTACTGTTCTTCAACTATTACCTTTTCCTGACAATAAACTCCTGACAGATATCCTCGAAAGTATATTTTTGGGTTTTTTAAAGTCCCACATATGCAATAGCCCAGTTTTTGTCAAAACCAGGCAATACCCGGTTTGTGATAAGCTGAGAGATGAAACTAAGTCTTCAATGAGTATAGTTGGAATGGGTCTAGCACCAGATTTGAGATCATAACAATGGATTGTTGAGTCTTCACAGGATGCTACTATCATTGATCTGTTGGATGCCACACATCGTATAGGTGCTCCTGAAAAATTCAAGATTTCTTACATAGGGATAGGAAAATTGTATCTAGTGAGTACTATGTCGCATTCACTATGTTCTTGTGAGAAATTAGGACGAGGGATTTCTTTAATTACATGTCAGTAGTTGATAATAATGAAAAAATTTCTTAGGGATCAATTCTTAAACATTGGCAGACTATAAACATGCACGATTTATTTTTCATGGCTTCAAATACGACGGGTTATATCCCCAAAAAAATAAATTGTCATTCACACTGCTCTGAGTGCTGATGAAAGAAACTTTGTATGAGATGAAAGAAACTTTGTATGAGTACAAATATGTTGGAATATTGAAAATACGTGGATTGTAGATTCATAATTTCATCTCATAATGAATTTTATCAGTAACCTTATTATTTCACTAGCTACAAATAGCAGCAATCTAAACGCTCTATCTTATCAAAATTCAATATAAATCAGTGCTTTTGTAAAATACTGAATACATTCGTTTTTAGCCAAACTATCCATTTCTTAAACATCTCCTGAAACAGGTTGATTTTTTTTTTCAATTTGCCATATTTAATAGGAAAAATTGAATATACAGAGTACAAATATGTTGGAATATTGAAAATACGTGGATTGTAGATTTTCATAATTTCATCTCATAATGAATTTTATCAGTAACCTTATTAATTCACTAGCTACAAATAGCAGCAATCTAAACGCTCTATCTTATCAAAATTCAATATAAATCAGTGCTTTTGTAAAATACTGAATACATTCGTTTTTAGCCAAACTATCCATTTCTTAAACATCTCCTGAAACAGGTTGATTTTTTTTTCAATTTGCCATATTTAACAGGAAAAATTGAATATACAGTGTGATCCACGCCTGAGTAATGACGTCCGCGTCCTTATAGATTATTCAATTTATGAAATCTCCATGAAAAGCACCCAATTCGACGGACGCAGCTTTTCCAAAATTTCAATAATACATAGTGTTCCATTTGAAAAAAATATCGCGGACGTCATAATTCAAACGTGGATGACCTTTTATATATATTTTTTCCTTAAAAATGTGGCAGATTGAAATCTTTTGATATTTTGAAAAAAGACAGAGGTTTATTTGTTTGTTTCGGAGCAGGCAGTGAGTTAGTTCTTTTTATTCACAAGTAGAGTTATCGTTTTTTGGAGCGTCACTCAGTTTTTTTAGCGAATTACTGAGAAAGAAATCAAAGATATTAATACCAGCCAAAGTAATCGTTAACAAATTTATTCACCTTAACGTGCCAACAGTAGGTATTTGGATTTGAGGTAAATAATGTTATATTATGTCAGTACAAGGGAAATTTCCCTTCATGTAGGCCAACACTTTGGGTTCACAGAGTCACTAGCAGACTCAATAATTTTAATAAACGTGAATCCGATATTAGACTGGAAGATGTTGTTTATATGTTCTCAAATGTCTAATGATGAGAGACAATGAAAAATGATTATTGAAATGAACTTCGTTTGTTTGCATGTGATCGCACACGAAGGCACTGATGGGTTTCATCGTACAAAAAGTGGACGCACCGTTCTAGCATCAACAACAGCATGAGGCATGAATTGGCTGACGACATGCCGAAGGGCAACCGTTGAGGGTACCACTGCAACCAACAGAAGGGCTACAATAACCATATCTTGCCAGCAAGAATAAACCGAAGTTCGCAACAGAAACGGACGGCAGAGGTGAATACAGAGATCCATGCAATGGAGCCATGATGGAGAGATGGCATCTCTACATCTGCTGGATAGCATCCTCAGGTCAAACAAAACTCGGTCATTAGAGGAAAGCAGGGAAGACGTTACCAGATTATGGTATTTAACCAACCCAGATGTGCAGCATAGCCCCGGACCGTCGAAGCCATGCCAGGAAGTCCTTCCCAGGTTAGTTAACCAAGCCAGGCTAATATAGAATAGCTGACTAGTACTGTCAGTTATCCGACAGGATATTGATAGGAATTTTCAGGGGAATTTTTGATAATGAATGATTTATGTTTAGCATAGAAGTTTATATTTTAAATTTGAAAGATGATAGGTTAGCGCTAGGATTACCCATCTGACCATTTTTCAACGACGTGGGCCGTAGTTTTTTAGAGGAGGGGTATGTCACAAATAGAGTAATAATCTAAAAATTCAGTTAAAATCATAAAAGGTTCGAAGTTATCGAACGGTCAGGTATCTGTTTATTATATCCAAAAAATTCCAATAATTTTGAATCATGACCGAACTTTTTTCATAGTAGTTGAACATGAATACAGGCGCGACATTGACTTCAACGAACCTGGACTAATGACCTGATTTCCTTACTGTCACGTTTCCGAAGATATAGACTATTTTAACGACGTAAGGAAGCGGGCACGCTAGGTTCGATCGATTGTAAGTGGCCACTGTGCCCGAATCTTCGGAGTTCCGGCAGAACAGAAGATGCCTTTCCTCAAGCTCCCGGAAATAAAAGCCCATTTGTACATATAGGGTAAGTCAAGTTTTTATTGCATTGTTATTCATTTCCAATAATAAATGTGTGTATATGTTTTGTTCGAAACCCTTAAGTTTATTCTATTATGGATCTAGAACACAACTTAGGCAACCCCGTCTACAGTTTGTGACAATAAAATATATATTGCCATGACATCTACAACGATAACCAACATCAGCAAGAAAATAACGGAAACAATTGTGAACTGCAATATGCAGACGATACAGCAATCGTGAGACACCATAATTCTCTGCAAAAAAACAATTGAAGAGCTACACTCAGAAATGCACAGGACTCAGAGATGGTTCAACAAATGGAGGCTTGAGCCAAATCCGCAGAAGTCTCAACTGAACATTTTCAATCACTCTCAAAAGGATGACTCACCCTTAATTATTGTAAACAACCAGACTATCAGATGTTCAACAACATCGAAATATCTCGGTGTTCAATTCAACCATAAAACTCAAAAATCACACTATGAATATAAAGAAGAAATGCATACAAAGAGCAAAACATTTCAAAAATCGAATCACCAAGAAAAAACGAATTAAAATGAAAACCGTATCCTACATCTACAAAACTGTCGACCAATTTTAGAATATGCTCATCGCATATATACCAACTACAGAAGACCAGCTATAAGGAACTTGGAAGTTGCGGATACATCAAGTCTTCATACCATTACAAAAATCAGGCACCCCAGAAACTCTCTTCATAATCCTTCGAACGAGCTCTTATACGAACTGACAAGCACACAACCCATATCAGACAGAATATCCTGTCTTACGCAAAAGTCTGTCCCAAACAATGTAACATAGAGTTGATATGACCAATGGTGATTAAAGGGAACCAAAACCACCGACAGAGATACGTTTGAGTGCTTGATCGACTTGCAAGAGGAATGAAGAACGTATACACCATACAAGAGGGTTTTTTTCTATGAATCTTAATTTTCAATAACCCTCTTATCTTAACATGCAATAATCATATCCCATAATATTATTATGATTTACTGGGCAAGAGAACTTCGGTCAATAGCCTTTTGTATTTAGCACTATCATTATTATTATTATTATTAATATTATTATCATTACATGGAACGATCAATATGAAATAGATAATTGTCGTATATTCCACTAGTGTGTAGAATCCATTTTTTTTTCATGTTCTGGTTCCCACGGAAAGGGATATCCTGTAATGTTCAGAGAGCATCGTGAGAACCAAGGGAAATAAAGTAGGAGTTGGTGTTCTTCTTGAATTTCTTGAGGTTATATGCCTCGGGGAACACATCCCTTGGTAATCTGTTCCAGAGCCTCGCTGTTCGTTGGATGAACGAGTCTTTGGAAAGAGATATTCTGCAGGTCTCCAAAGTGACCACGAAGGGGTGTGAAGCCTCAACTCGACGGGTTAATCTCGCGGGGATTGCCACGGGAGGAACGATTGTTGATATTTCAGAAGAGCATCGTCCATGAACATATCTATAATATAGAGCCAGATCGCCAACTTTTCTACGGTGTTCCAGAGAAGTGAGTGAGTTTGTGAGCGAGGCATCACCCACGAGACGAATTGCCCTTTTTTGGACAGAATCCAACAGTTTCAGGGTATGGGTGCTGCCCTCCAAATATGGGATCCAGGACAGGTCGAATCTGTGCCTTATGGATCATAAGCAGCTGACTGGAAGTGAAATAGCTCCTGGTCCGAAACAAAAAAAATAAGTTTTTGGGATGCACTTTTAGCAATTGATCTCACGTGATTTTCCCAAGAAAGGTCATTGCTGATAGTAATACCAAGCATCGAAATGGATGTCTTCAAAGGTATGTTTACTCCTGGCATGGCTCATAGTTTGAAATTTAAATAGTTCGAATATATACCTACTTATTATTTCACCATTATAGGAACTATGGTTATGGCATTCATTCACTGTATCAAATCACTGACAATATTTCAATTGAAAAACATCAATACAAAACGAGACTGAAATTTGTATAACTTTGATAACATGATTTTATATTTCAGTAAACTGGTCAACATTGAAGAACTTCAACGTTTCAATATTATTTTGACATAATTTCCAACGTTTCCATTCATTCAGCAATGCCATTTGTCATTTGTGGAACATTTGTTTTCCGCTTCTTCAAACTCGAACTGTCCTCAATCTACATCCTAAATTCGGTCCGAACGAAGCCACAGATCACCCAACTCCCAGATAGGAAAGCCAGGTCTCCCACCAACAACGAATTTATATGACATAATATGTGGCGTCGCCATGGTTACAAGGGGTAATGGGCATTTTCAGAAATGTCGAGAAATAATATATCTTGAATTATATGGCTCTGGAATATTTTAAAGTTATTTTTTGATTTTCCATCCATGTATCATATAAAAAAATCATTGAAAACGTCAAAATGAAGGAGCGAATTCAAACGATCAGACATGGCCGTAAAACGTGTGACGTCAGTGAGCGAGCAATTTGGAATGGTAATTCCCTCACATTCTCGCAGGTGGCAGTAAAATACACGATGGACTTGACCACGTTGCCAATTTCGATAGAATGCTATGATTAGTCGGATATTCATTCCTCGATTTTTCATTTCAACAAATGATAAAGATGCTGTTAGATAACGCAATTAATGACTACTTACCTGAAAATTCGTGGTATTAGAAATACGCATTGCATAATTAGTTAATGGATTGATTTGTGTTGGAGGATTATTCAAAATTGTAAGTGAAATTTCATTTTGTATTGAATCACAGTGCAGATATTCTTGACATCCAGTTTCAAAACCCTATCGGTAAAGAACTTTCAAGTTTAGGTACTCACCTATTATGTACCTAACTATATCTATCTATCTATAGGGAACGAAACAAATTCTGAATAAATCAATACTAAATGACTAAATTGCTTACTTGGTTCTATTTCTATTGAGTTTAGTACAAGCATCACTGCCTTTTTGTCAATAATATTGAGAAATGAGAACAGTGAAGTTATGCGATGGATGAGGTATTTTTAACTTGGCAACATTGTTAGCGCGAGTTGCTTCATCTTTTTCTCTTGTGGAAATAGTTGCCAGATTAGCAATTACATTTTTCTGGAATGAATGCTTGATATATAGTAACACTGTTGAATTTATTGATTAGAACAATCAGTCAACGAAATGTCAACATAACTAAAACCAAACTGAGTATATAGAAAGCATCTTACTAATAGATGCCTGCGTCACATTTCATCATTTTTATCCTGACATTACAGCTCAGTAGCGTTTGAATTCACAGGTATTGAAATAGCATTTTCAATATTAAATTATTAATTTGCCGTTCGATTTTCTCGATAAATATGTGGTTAGGATAACGTTTTTAACTTCTCTGCATACTATTATAGCAAAAAGGGTCAAATTTTACGATACTGGAAAGGCCCATTACTCCTAATAAGATGGGTTGAACTCTGCTCCGACCATTCCACTCCTCTTAACTAACTATAAATGATTTCAGTATTATTATTGAACTTGATTAGATGCTGATCTGTGTAGGCAAAATGGTCGATTCAAAAGTATTTTTTTAATTATGAGTTTGTCACAGAAATACCACTTCTACGAATATGTTTTTTCAGTGTGAGTCGATGAGATATGTGTGAAATCAACAATAAATTTTTCTTTGTGCATACGGTGGTGTTATTCAGGGCAACGCACTTGACCGTTCGAAGTTTGAGTATTCTCAAGATCTTCCTTTGTTAGGAGATCTGGGAAACCTTGAAAAATTATGAGGTAATAGACATACCAGAAATATTTTGCAGATTTTGGAACCTCAACATTTTCGTTTATCTTTACGAAGAGTTATCACTGTTATAGTTTCATCACAATACTCACGTCAATATTATTATTTTTACTTCTTCAGTTCTTGGAAATTGATTCAACAACAACTAGTCACAAGTGACAGCTAATAAGAATAGCAGCATTTATTTGTTTCTATTACGATCAGATGAAAATGCGTAACGTACGTGTAAGTAGTTTGTGTTTTCTCGTATCACTTGTCCGAGAATTGATGATCAGTACCATATTATCAAAATGTGATGTGATGTGTGTTATGGGCAGACGGATTAGACAATTTCTGACAATTGGAAACACATTGACCAATAATGTAAGATTCCAATAATGTAAGATTGGATGGAAATAATAATAAAAAAACACTATTGGTAAAATGAATCACTGATCAGACTTTATCCTACACGTTTGTAAGCATAGATGTTCTCCCGATATTAACAGCTGCTACGACAAAAAATAATTAAAAAATAACTAAGCATAAGTTGAAAAGTGACTCTTGAAGGACGGTTTTTTGAAATGGAATCCATCTCGAATGATTCCAAGACGATACAGAATAAAAAAATCGTTCGCTGACTAATATTACAGTGGAAAAAAATATTTGGAATTCTTATCCTGGGACGTATCAAATAGCTTAGGGAAGAAAAGGTGCTCAAGTTTCGATGTTGGATAGGGAGATTTTCAAATATCGAAACGGACCAAATTGATTTAATATTATGCATAATTCGTTACATGTTATTTTCAAATGAAATGCATTTAATCGGAATAAAACTAGCGCACGATTTCTTCTGAAAATTTGTTCTCAATTATATCCACTCTGCAATATGAGGGGCATATTCGGAATGATTCCAATATTTTAAAGGGTATTGCTGCTTTGTTCCATAATAGCTGGGATACATTGTATAAGTACATACCTAAATAAGTATCCCACTTAGGACCCTTATCATTTATACTCCTAAAGACTTCTATTTTGGATAAGGAACCTTTGGGTATTTTATGGCAGTTATTGGTAACCTGAAAATAATGTTGAATTGATTTCTTCAGATAAGACTACTTAGGAGAGACAAACATCTCAATGATCTTTAATTTACATATTGGGTGATCAAAAATAGCGGGACGTCTCACCTGGAAGAGTATAGTTCGGTATGGAGAAAAAATCAAGGTAATGATTTGTTAAAACTGCTGGCAATTGATGGGAATGTCCGAAATTGCTCCTACATGGCGGTACTAGTGTGATTGGGGGTCACCTCCTTGCATAAAAGTTATTAACAAATAACGGAGACGGTTGATCGTTCAGTGGAGTTCGATGAACATCATTCGTACCTTGCGAAAATAAAGAGAGAAGGTAGGTATTGGAGTTTTCTCCAACTTTTGGAGGTTATAAGTCCTTGTGGATACTTCCTTTGGCAAAGAATAACAAAGCTTTGCCGTTCTATAGACAAACGAGTTTTGAGAAAGAGTTGTTCGACAGATCTCGAGGTTGACGATAAAAGGATGTACTGATTGGGCTTGTCGAATTTGCTTTACTGGTATTGCTAGTGATGGAATGATAGCCTGGATTTCTGAAGGACATTTCCTATGGTAGTATCTATTATCTATGGATAGAAGATAGATCGCAGATTTCTCTACGGTGTTCTAATGCTGAAAGGATCAAATTCAACCTGGATTTCAATTCAGAACATATCTATAATTATTGAAAACTTGTTTTGGGTACGATTTATGCATTGGAATTTCAAAATTGATTCGTGATTTTTATGATCATAAAAATAAAGCTTGTCTGTTAAGAATGACCAATCAAAAAAAATGTACAGTGTGGCCAACTAAGAATGCGAGGTACTGTACTGGAAAACTATCCATCGTAGCTGCTTGTGGCAAAAAAGTTACTACTGAAACAGCCAAGACAAAAACCTGGAAAATATTCTCAAGTTTCTGAAATGGTCGCTGGGGAGCGTAACTACAATCTTGAATTCCGCTATATAAACCTAACAAAGGAATACGATAAAAGTGAAGTTGTGGGGGTATTCAAAGGTTTCTCTAAAAAAAACATGTATCTCCGAAACGGCTGAGCCGATTTCAGCAAACTTGCGCTAGGTGAAAAAAGCTTTTCTTGGGCTACGAATGTCATATAATTTGAAGTTTCGTAAGTTTCACATGTCGCCACTAGAGGGTTTTTTCGACAATTCGACAGAAATGTTTGATTTCCTCAAAAAAAATTTAATGTATTGGTATAATTTTGTTTCATGAAGAAGTTGCTAAGTGATACCTAGAAAAGCTCGCGAAAACTTGAAAATATCTTCCAGTCTTCTCTCTTGGCCGTTTTAGTAATGACTTTTTTTGCCGCAAGCCTTTACCATGGATACAGCACAGATACATCACCTCGCATTTTAAGTTGGTCACCCTGTACATTGATACAATAAATCCATATTTCGAATAAGTAAGGACTTATCTTCTATTTCCACATTTTCATTATCTTCATTAATGAAGACTCGAAACGAAGTAGCACAGTTGAAAAAGTTAAAGAGTGTTCGATTAGCCAGCGGTTTTAACGAATCAGTAAAGTTTGCCCTGCTCCGCTATTTCATTTTTTTTAGGTATCGTAATAATGGAGTATCCATGCTGATATTTATTTCGCCAGCTTCCAGGAGACGTTTGAAAATCGAAATTAATTGAAAAATGACTAAACGAAAAGCAAAATAAAGATCCCCGCAGATTTTGTGATCACCCGGTATGGTTGACATAATACCTGTATTTTTATCGTGCCATATTCTTTAGTCACAGTAACACCAGGAGGAAGTTTCAATGGGTCTAATATATTGATGAATTTGATTATTGGCTCATCACCTGGGACTTCACAGCACATTAGTTGGTTTATCTTTATCCCCGGTGTCTGAACACTTGATTTATTGATCGATTTACATTGATCCCTGAAATATGGAAAATGCACTGGTCGTATTATCATCAATTAATCCCTCGATTAGAAGTATGGAAAATATCAAATATATCAGGAACCGTGAAAAGATTATTTCAAAAAATTGTACAGTCTTATTGTCGATCCAAAAATCATAGCCATTTTTGCCACATTTTTTGTTTACTGTATTCCATTTCATATTTGGTTGAAGGTCATTTTTACCAATGTAACGATACTGGGTTTGATGGAGGCATGGTGAACGACTACGAAGATATAGTTGAACATTCCATACAATTTAGATTAGAGGTTGAAACGTCCTTTTGAAACCTTTTTGTTTCACTAAACACTTTCTGAACTTACAGAAGATCGTTTTTCGAAAATGTTGTTTTCTAAACCACTTGCATCCATATCAAATTTGGTATCATTGAATTCGTAGTAACACTTCCTCGTATACGTCAAAACAAGCACATGAGAACTTCAAAATGGCAATTTGATATCGGCGAACGAGAAAGAAAGAGGAATGATGACATCACGTTACTATGAGAACTTTGTCTTCATTCATGAAGTGTCCGGTAATTTTATACGGGATGTTTGATATACACGTTACATCGTCGAAAATGCTGTTGATTTATTTGCATGAGTTATTTCAGTGGACAAATTTAAATCATATGCGTAAAAACCATGATACAAAGAGACAAAGTGGGCCAGTTTGGCACTACAAAATCGTCCTAATAAGTACATGACGTCACTGTGTAGTCTTGGAGGGAACGTATTTAAGCGAAGTCTATAGATTTGTCATGTTGTTGATTTATATAAAATTCCGGAATGTGTTTGTGTTCATCATGATTTTACGATGAAATTAATTATGGATCCGGTCTCAAACTCTCATTGGGTCAATTTGTGTCTATCTGAGATGTTATATCGGGGGTGATTTACGCAAGCCACACATTAGAAGTGTTTCAACTTGCAGTTGGATTAAATACTTGGAAATTAGTATGCTATTATAATCGGCCATTTATAATCTACCCATGATATTTTAAGTCTTCCAGCTATACAGGGTGTGCCTGTTACATAGTTTCTATTTGAAGTTGTCATTTATTAAAACATCTCGTGCTTTCTTATCATACGTTTTTTACATCTATCCCTTGGCGGTATATATTGACACATGACTTGAGACACTATTGAGTGATATTGACATTCACATGAACTAGCTAAAGCCTAAGTTACACTAATACGGTGAAGCCTATTGAAGGGGAACGGCAGTGGATTTAACTGTGAAGCCAAAGCGAGCCAAAAGAGCACTTCAAAAATAAAAAATACAGCGTGAGCCGGCAAGACGACTTACCTTATTGTGATCCTGCTGATCTTCTTCTGAAGGGCCCTTCCAGCGATCCAAACTTTCCTTGCCTGAAGCGACGGCGGGTTAAGCGAATTAAGCGGGTTAAGGGTGAAGCGGGCAAAGCGAAGGGTTGAGTTTCACTCGAATATAATATAAATGCTGCGAGCGATATGCACTTAGCGCGAGACCCAGCGGTACTACTGGTACCTTTGCGTATAGGTGATCGAAAACTCGTCCAAGGACACGCATAATCTTGGTCGCCTTGAGGCTCAGTTTCTTCGCGGTAAAAATAAACTCTCGAATAAACTACTTATGAAAAATTAATATATATGTTCTGATAAAGATATTGCCGTTCCGCAACATTTTCTCCCCGGCGCAAAGGCATTGCCATTGAAAAGAAAAAAAAAAAATTCTGATACAGTAACACAGCACAGACATATAGAGCACAACAGGTAGAAAATAACATTAATCATTGTCACTGTCGGGCAGTGGACACAGCTTGACCAACGGACGCTTCAAGTTTCCTGTTGCAGTTCTTACCGTTGCCACTCGAGCCACCTGATCATCGCCCAAATGTAACTGAACTATTCGTCCCAGAGACCACTTACAGGGAGGAACATTATCAGTCTTGATAAGAACAAGTGATCCGATATTTGGAGACACACCGGGGTCCAACCATTTGCCTCGCTGTTGCAACGTGTGCAAATACTCTTGGTGCCATCGGCGCCAAAAATCTTGGTGGAGGCGTTGCATCATTTGCCATCGTGATAAACGATTGAGGGGAATCGACGTAAAATCTGGCAATGGCAAAGCGGACAACGGCTCCAAAGTCAAGAAATGACCAGGCGTAAGGGCGTTAATATCTTCGACGTCTGCACTCATGGCGGTGAGTGGCCTCGAATTTAAAATCGATTCTATCAAAGTTAAGACTGTATAAAATTCTTCACATGTTAAAATTTGCTGGCCAACGACACGTGACAAATGTGTCTTGACGGATTTGACTCCAGCTTCGCATAAACCATTGAAGTGTGGAGCACTGGCGGGAGTAGGATGGAATGTAATTTTTTCATGACTCGCGGCATTCTCCATTAATTTAAGGAGTTCACGATTTGCACCCAGAAAGTTCGTACCACAATCACTGTGGATATGTGAAACACGACCACGACGCGCAATAAACCGCTGTAAGGCGGCTAAGAATACCTCAGAGGACAAGTCACTTGCTAGTTCGAGATGTACAGCTTTTGTGGCAAAGCAGACAAAAATGCAGAGATAGGCTTTGCTGGTTCGTACACCGCGATGTCGAGTGAATGTTATGAAAAATGGTCCGCCAAAGTCTACTCCACAACGCGAAAATGGCTTTACCTGGGAAATGCGGGAAATTGGTAGATTACCCATAGGGGGTTGAAAATTACGTGGATTGGTTTTCCAGCATCTCAAGCATTTTGAAAGAACAGCACTGATTGCCCTCTTTGGAGATAAAATCCAAAACTGTTGGGAAAGTAAGAAGTGAGTTGCACGAAAACCGGAGTGGAAAAACTTTTCATGAAAATGTTGGATTAGTAGCCTTGTTAGGCGAGCTTGGCGGGGCAACAAAATAGGATATTTAGCCGAATAAGATAAAGAAGCATGCTTCAAGCGTCCGCCAACTCTGAGGATGCCCTCGTCATCGATAAAAACTTGTAATTTTTTAAGTGGTTTCGAGAACCCTCTGCCGTTGATTTCGTCTTTGAAATAAGTTTGTTGCGTGTGCTTGACTAAAGTTATTAGTGACCTGTGAAGTTCAATATTTTTAAGTATACCACCAAATCGTTCAGGAGCTTTCTTGACATTGCAAATAAATCGTAAAATATAAGCCACCACATTCTGAATCGTTCGAAAGCATGAATGATTTGTAAGTATGTCTTCAATGAAGCTATGAGAAAGTGAGGCAATAAGTACAGTTTTTGTTTCCTCTGCAAACGGAACTGTTAATGGAAATAAAGGTGCCACTGGCCACAAGCTCTCGTTTTCTCGTAGGAATGGAGGGCCCTCAAGCCACATAGAGTGAGAGATCAGTGCCGAGGGGAGGACTCCTCTGGATGCAATATCTGCGGGATTGTTGGCCGAATCTACATAAGACCAAGAAGACGGTGAAATGTTTTCTTGTATGAACGAGACTCGGTTGGAAACAAAAGTAGGCCATCGATGGGGATGACCTTTTATCCAATGCAAGGTGATCTGAGAATCTGACCATGCACAGATTCTTGAAAAGGTAAATTGATTAGAAAAGGTTCGAATTACGTAAGACATGAGCTTGGTTAAAAGCACAGCACCGCACAATTCAAGTCGAGGAATGGTCATTGTTTTAGTAGGGGCGACTTTGGATTTTGCAGAAACGAAACTGGTCGATATACAGTTATTTTCATCACACGTACGAAAATACACCACGCAAGCATAACCCTTTTCACTAGCATCACTGAAACCATGAAGTTCATAGTTGACGGCAGAGAAGTTGAAGAAATTTCGAGGAATTTTCAAATTAGAAAGCAACGATAACTCTGATTGAAACTTAGCCCAAATGCTTATAATCTCGGTATCAGGTTTATCATCCCATCCAAGTCCTGATAACCAGAGCTTTTGAATGAGATGTTTGCAAAAGAAGGTAATCGGAGAAATAAATCCAATTGGATCATAGATCCGCGCCAATTCAGATAATAAGGTGCGTTTTGTAACACATCGATTTTTGAGAGGATTGACACAAAAAGAGAAACAATCAAGAAGGGGGTTCCACCTTAAACCCAATATTTTCAAGCACGTGTCTTGCGAGTCGGAGTTAAATACAAGCGGATCGTGTGACAAATAGGAAACGGGCAAAGTAGATAACAGAGATGGTTCGTTACTTGACCATTTTCTCAGCTCGAATCCCCCTCGGGTCATTAGGGCAGTAAGCTCAGTCATGAGTGTTTGGGCATTTTCGAGAGTAGGGCAGGATAATACAAAATCATCAATGTAACAGAAATTGCGAATAGCATGGGAGGCAAGCGGAAATGCCCTACCCTCATCGTCAGCAAGCTGTTTCAAGGTCCGAAGGGCTAGATAGGGTGCACAATTGGTTCCATACGTGAGGGTTCGTAAACGATAATCCTGGACTGGATGAGCTGAAGAAAATCGCCAAATAATTCTCTGAAAATCGCGGTGGGTAGGATGAAGCAATATCATCCTGTACATTTGTTTGATGTCTGCACATAGAACGTAAGGATTCAATCGAAAGTTGAGGAGAATTGCAACAATATCCTGCTGCAGTTTCTCTCCGATATATAAATGATCATTTAGTGATGTCTGATTTGGCAATTTTGCAGATGCATTGAATACCACTCTTAATTTAGTGGTAGTACTATGCGGCTTGAGCACACAATGATGGGGAATATAGTACGAGCTTGGAGGTGAGTCATGACTGGAGACTAATTCCATATGGTTAAGGTCTAAATATTCTCTCATGAAGTTGGAATATTGTAAATATAATTCAGGATTTTTCAGCAGACGGCGCTCTAACGAAAAAAATCTATTCAGGGCTAGATCACGAATTCCTGGGAATTTCAGGTCATTACCTTTCAGTGGAAGTGACACAATATAGCGGCCATTGGGATCACGCGTTATTGTTTCGGAAAATATTTTTTCACAATTGACATCATCTGGAC